AGCTGATTTCATCGATGTATCACACTTGGGGTCTAGCAGAAATGATTACAGAGATATAGGGTGTGAAAAATCGACATTTTTCAACTTAAGGAATTTTTTTTGTCGAAACTATTCATTATTGGTCAAAACGGCTTACATGTCCCTATCTCAACTTTTGATTAACTATCTACTGATATTTAATTGGGACATATACCGGGTGATCAAGAATCTGAATTCTGCACCACCCTGTATTTGTTTCAATTAAATGTCAGTAGATAGTTGATCAAAAGTTGGGATAGGGACATGTGAGCCGTTTTGACCAATAATGAATAGTTTCGACAAAAAAAATTCCTAAAGTTGAAAAATGTCGATTTTTCACACCCTATATCTCTGTAATCATTTCCGCTAGACCCCAAGTGTGATACATCGATGAAATCAGCTCTTCAGAGAGAATCTGAAAATGCAATAAAATACAGGGTGTTCCATTTATAATAACAAAGTTGTTGCTACTTTTCGATAGAAGCGGCAACGCCGCAGAGCTGAAAATATTTTAGATCGATAGATCAAGAGCAATTACTTGAGTAACCCAATTTTCAGAATGATCTTATGTCCCGTTCTCCGTAAACGTCTAAGGTGCCATCGACCGTGACCCACCCTGTATATATAGTTAGTTTACTAAGGCAGCTGTAGAACGTCAGAAATCGCAGCATTGTCGTCTGGCGTTCAACACTTCCTGCCTTAGATGGATACCAAAAAATCATTTTCTTTTTCAAATACTGACAGAAGATAATCTCAATAAAAATATATATTTGAACTCAGAAAAAAGAGCTCTATCGATTGGGAAGATTATATACAGAGTGTTCCATTTAGAAATACAAACGTATGTAAAATTTTTCGGTTTACAATGCTGTTTTGCATTTTCTAGTAATAGATAATGAATACTCATGAAAAATACTTCGATTTTGCCCATTTGAACGTTTCTGTAGGACCAATATTAACTGGGAGTAGAATATAACCAATCACCCTGTAAATCAGAATATTAAGTCACTATACACTTAGATGGAAATTCAAAAACGAAATTGATTCAATGTTACAGTTAGAAATGTCACTTATATTGGATTCAGAAAATGATACAGACTTCAAAAATGCAATGATATACAGGACGTTCCATTCGAAGATCAAAAGCTATTACCACTTCCGGTGAAAGTGGAAGTGGAAAATGAAGAATATTTATTATGGTAAAACGTGACGTTAATCAAGTTGATGGGTCAGATTAGGTTTCAAATTCCAATCGCTTATCTCTAGAACTAAAGAAAAAATAAAGGTGTACCATGATCCTGTTACACCCGGTATGTGTTTGAAAATTGTAACAACATAACACGTCTTCCTCTTTTTCTCTCGGAAATGTTTAGGTGCGGTCAAAATATCACTAGAATTTTTTCATTGAACCTTTTTTTCCTAAAATCATCCGGTACTATATTGATACTGACTATTTCACTCATCACATAATCTGACCAATCACAAGCCAGAGACGTGTGCTTATCGCGAAAACATTAGCTGCCTTTCAATTATCCCAGTTAACACAAACATCTATGAGATGTCGCATTCATGGCAGTTGATGTCACAAAACCAAATCACAATATTGCATCGCTGATATCTACAAGGAATTCCTTGTGTGACAGATAGTTCGCAAATTTCATCACATTCTGTTGGATCTGAGACCAATATGGATATAATATTCATGAAGCCCTTTAACTTCACAGACTATAATTTCAGAATCTGAAATTTCAGTAGTTAAGAGTCATAATTTGATGTATCTGAATTGACAATCTGATTCACATTGTGCAGAATGAAAAAACGAAAATATGCTTCAATCTGTGAATCTCTCTCACATCTCAAGGAAATTCAATTATGAAAGTAATATCGAACAATACTTGGAAATATCAGTGTACTCACATACTCATGAATGTAGCGCACAATGTGACTTATGTTAAGATTCGTACTCACTCGGTCAGTGTCGGTCTGACTTATGTACACGTGCCTGTAAATTCTTTAGCGACGGCATGCTTTTGTCTCGTCCATTTCGTTTTTTCAGTTCATTCGGTGTTAGTATGCAGTTCGTATTTGGCGTTATTGCTCATACTGAAGCATCTCTTTCTAATCGTAAATCATGATTGTGATTAAAGATACTGTGTGTTCTCCATCTAAGTTACAGGGTAAGTAACTACAACGTTCATAACTTGATACAATAATATACCTATACTGGTTGACAATGAAGACAGGGTAGACGACACTACGTCGCCATTGCAAGACTATATGATGATACTTACAATTATTTACCTTGGAATATATCATTTTGGGATCAGGGTATAAGTGAACATGCATATTCTGATTGTATATTGGGAAAGTCTGATAGAGAACAGAATTATTGCAAAATATTATGAATGGAAGGAAAAAATGCGCCGCAGCTATTATCTTTCTTCTTTGTCACCCGGTATAGAACAGTAGGTACGCAGTGTGATTTCATCTTCTCATAATTAATTTCAATCTTACACGACTCCACGTAGATATGAAAGTGACTGGAACATTTTTCAATACTCCCATTATATGGTTCTCTACTCACTCTCTATAAGATATTCTCAACAGGAAATGGGTAAAATAAAATCAATAAATTGTTTCAATATTCATTTCCGGATGCCAAATTACAAAAGACATCTGGATAACCTTGGAACAATTTGAAATTCTGAGCAGGGATTGGTTACCATGCTACAACGGAAGGAGCGATGAGGAGCAAATATTGGATTCTCTTGGCTACATGTGTTCTCATAGTTGGATTGATATCATTCAAGTTGATTTTGTTGACTATTATACAGGGTATATCTCCATGAGTTAACGCGATCTTTATATGGAGAAATAAAAGTAGCACGAATCTGAAAAATTGTAAGGACGGTGAAAGAAACATGGAGAATCCGCATCTAAAATATTATCGTTATTGTGATTTTTCCGGAAGTGACGTCAACTTTGTTATTTTCAATTGAATACCCTGTAATGTTCAACATTTTTGAATTCCCCCTAAGATTTTGATCCAAATTATCGTATCATACCCAATATATACCTGAAATGAAATGTTTTTGAATGTTTCGAGTTTTTCATGAAAAACCGACAAATGCAGCCTATCGAACATGGGCAATTTTTATTTGAATTGGAAGTTTCAGTGTCGTGAATATTGAAGGTTGAACGGATAATTGACCAAGATCACCACCACCGAATAATTTACATGGTGCGCAGAAAAGTGGATCCAAAAAGTAAATCTACAACATTAACATGTTTTCGAATGGAAACCCCATTTTTTCATAGCATAATTCGATTCTATAATGAAAATGAGCCGTAGTTTGAATTACCTTTCCTATTGAAATTGTCAATTCAATGTTTCACATTCACTTTCTGGACCCCCTTTCTTGCGCACCCTGTAAATTATTATGATTATTGTGAGTGATCCGTTAAACCTCCAATATTCACGATTCAATCACCGCATATCACTAGAAATAATTCTACAATTATTGTAATACGCATGAAAATTGCGTTTTTTATCGATTTTCCATAAAAACTCGAATAACTCAAAAACGCCTCATTTCAGGTAAAGGGTATGATACATAAATTTGAATCAAAATCATGAGAGGAATAGAAAAATGTTGAAAAATTCACGGTGTTCCATGGAAAATAACAAAAGATGGCGTCACTTCCGGAAATACCGAGAGCTTCACAATAACGAAAATATCTTGGTTGGATTCTTCATGTTTTCTCCACCGTCCCTACGGATTTTCAGAATAGTGTTACTTTCAGTTCTCCATATACATCGCGTTTACTCATCGAGATATATACCCTGTATAATTTTTCGAAAAAGTCTAGGCCTGCGCTGTTTTTCTAATTTCAATCATTGTTATATCTAGGTAGTTTTGCTCAATATAACATGTACATACTTACCTATTCTGATGTGTGATGAGATTAGTTTTCAATAAAATCGAGTTGCCTTGTGAAACCTTTGATTGATCTATTTGACAGAGATTCGAGACCGATTAGTCCTCTCATTGAATACCTTCATCAAACTAGATGTGATTTCACTTGAGACATCAACACTCAATGTGTATGTAGCATTTCTGAGACGCACAATATAATTCTTCCAGGGACGCTACGATACCAGTATAATAATCGAAAAGAACCTCACATTCAGAAATGGTCCATGGTTCTAAACCTCACATTCTGATTATAATGTAACGTCATTGTTAGTCTAATTTCAACGTGAAATCTGGGGTCACATTCAGCTAACTTCTGAGTCCCATTCGGCATCTAAATGTGAAGCGAAAATGACCAATAGGGTCCCAAATAGAGGATCTGGAGATGTCGATGTGATTCACAAATCGAATCGCAGGTGTGATCTCAATCATGAATGTGAAGTGTACTGACATCTCTGAGATCAATTTGTGTTCACTGGGATGATTGGTCGATCATCAAAGCAGTAAAGTCTGGATGTAACCATGGATAGCCAAGCAAAGTCTGTCAGTTTGGCATGCAATAATTATGGCTGTACTTGTCCTAAGGACTCATGGTATTGCTAGGAAACACAATTTCGTGAACAATGAAGCGACAGAATTATCTGGGATATTCAGAACATCATGATATTACTTATGTTAATGCTGCTACAAACATAGTGTTTTGAAAATAGATGTGTAGACTATCTGAAATGTTTGTAATCAATTGTGATCTGTTTTGGTGTGACTTATCACGCCTCACCGTAATTCAGGCTCTTTGAATTTATCGCCATGTTTCTCAACAATCTATACGTATACATGTATTTGAGAGCTGATTCTGATAAAGATTTATATTATATTCAACAATATTTATAAATTTTGAATCTCCCTGTATTTACTTGAATGAAACACTGCCATCACATCCAATACAATTTAATTTGAATAAAAAACTAGGGATCATATTATTATATATCTCAAATATATAGAAAAAAATCAATTTGTTTTCACCTGTGTATCCATCTTTGCAAATTTGTCGAACATGTTTGCATAAATTTTCTTTTCCTTCTGTAGCTGTTCATTTAGTATTTTAGTACAAACGGCCAGCTGTTGTTTGGCTGCATTGTTATTTGGATCAATTTCGAGACACCTGCTGAAATCTTTACTGGCTAACTCAGGTTCTTTTAGACTCACCAGAGCCTGACCTCGTCTGAAAAGAGCTTTTTCATTATTGGGATCTAGCTTCAGAGCCGCTGAGGCAGCAGATCGGGCTTCGAAATAGTCCTTGAGTTTCAGCTGACAAAGAGCTATGTTGAGGTGGGATGCTAGTAGAAGAGAATTTTTCGCTTCTTCTACACTCTTATCTAAAAAAGATACAATGCTAAGATTGAACCTATTAACAATTCAGGAAAATATAAATCTTGTACGTGAAATGAGAGTAGTTCACACAATGAATCCCGAAAGAGCAAGTCATCTTATAACAGGCCTATTGAAGAGTGTGGACACGTTTGTCACCACTGAAATTTCCGAATTTTCATCATTTGTCTAGCGTGGCCTGGCTAAATCGAAATCAATAGGCATTCAGGAAAGAATCACTTGTATCAGTTTTGGTTCATACGAGTCGATGCATAGATTTCGGGAGAATGTAATCCAATGTTCTGCGTGGCGTTAGCCAGGAAAGTAGTTGTTTTTTTCTCGAAATCTACCATTGTTGTTAATTTTATGAACATTGTGTGGAAATGACTTTGAGCTTTTTGTATTTATTCAACATTTAATTCCAATTTGAACATTGTGGCTATTTCGTAGCTGGAATTCGAAGAATGATGGTTACCATTTTTATTTGTGTTGCCCAAAGACGAGTAGTTATTTCAAGTGTTTTAAAGCTTAAGATTCCAATATTCATTTCATGGAAATACATTAGTGTAGGGAGAACGATGTAAAATCCTCTTTACAACTGAAATGAGTATGAGCTTGACGACACAATAAATCGCATGGGAACATGTTTTTTGACGAACAAATTTTCGCTTCCACCAAATATTTCAACCGACATTGAACATCTGGCAACATTGCGAAAGACATAGATACCTTTACTTCTACACACAGTACTTCTGACCTCGAGAAAGCAAAAGCTTGGGTTCGGCTGTTTATCTCTTATTGATGGACACATAGAAGTCCTACTTTTTTTTTCACAAAAATATAAATTCATTCAATTTTGTTTTTCATTTTATACTACCAACTTCATTTATAGCTCATATTTCGGAAAAACCCTATACAGGGTGTCCCGGAATTAGCCTGCCAAACTTCACCAGCGGCTTCTTCGACCAAGAAAAGGAAGAAAAGTTCCAATGAACATGAGCCAAGAAATGTCTCCTGAGGGAGCTACGGCCCCCTGAAAGGGAGCTCCTGAAGATGATATTTCTTGAATATTTCCGAAACGCCACGTGATAAAATGATGCAAATCGGTAAAAGAACTAGACTTACCATGCCCAATGCGGTGAACATAAAATAATTTCAGTTTCATTCAGGAGTGTATACGACTGGGTGGGACTACATTAAATATAGCTCAAACTTCTTCGTATGCATATTTTTTGACAATTCTCGAATTATGAAAATCCACACCATTTCACAAGAAAAGGTGCTTCTGTTCTGCATCGATCAAATGTATCATCTCGAGTGAAATCGATTTAAAAATATCTTATGCATAACGTTGCCAATTTTCGAATCATAGTGGCTTTAAAAAAATCAAGTACTTTCTTTTTACGAAACAATCTTATGAAAGCGCGGAAAATAGAAAAATAATGATGAAACAACTAGTTCCATTTTTGTGCATTCTTTTCCATTTTCACTACGCCTTAGTGCAATGTTAGGCATGATATCTGAGATGTAACAATATTTTTAAATTGCTTTTACTCGATGATAATACATCTGATCATCACTAAACAAGAGTACCTTCTTTCTGTAAATAGGTGTGAAATTTCATAGTCGTCCGAGATTGAATTGTCAAAGAATATGCATAAAAAAAATTTTGAGCAATATTTAATGTAGTCCCACCCTTTATTATACACTCCTGATTGAAATTTTGAAATAACTCCATTTTCACTGCATTTGGCATGGAAATTTTAGTTCATGTACCAAATTACATCTTTTTATTACATGGAGTTTCGGAAATACTCAAGAAATATCATCTTCAGGAGCCCCCTTCCAGGGGGCCGTAGCTCCCTTAGGAGACATTTCTCGAATCATGTTAATTGAAAGTTTTCTTTTTATTTTTCGTATTAAAAGCCGCTGGTGAAGTTTGGCAGGCTAATTTTGGGACACCCTGTATATTATTAAAACGTGACATTTCAATGCTTTGAATTGACTGTAGCACCTTGGTTGCTAGACATCTGCTTTAATCAAAAAACTTTGCCTCTTCTATTTTTTATGATGAAATAATGATAATTTTGAAAACTTACCACTTTCAGACTCCAAGTATGACTGAATCCTCTTATACAATTTGTTGGCTAACTCATATTTCCCATTTTTGAAATAGCCTGTTCCCCTCTCTTTGAATAATTTTGACTGTTCAATCCTGTCTTGAGAATCTAGAGACCAGCTCTCAGGCGCTTTCTCAAATTTTTTCAAACTAACAATATATTCTACTGTGGCATTTGGAGGTATATTATATTTCTGAGACCCGTCAATACCAAAAGCATATTTCGGCTTAATTATGAGCCGAGATGTTTCTCCTTTCTTAAACTGCTCAACAGCGATCTCTATGCCTGGAATGATGTTTGCTTCGGAACCCTCTCCGACAGTGAAAGTTACCTCTCTGTCTTCAAATACTTTGTTATCGTATTTTCCAGTGAAGTGTACTAAAAAAAAATATTAGTCAATTTTACAGAGTGTATTAGACCCCATACTTATTCATCCTGGTAGAATTTGATTCTTTTTGATCATAATGTGTTGGTCATTCCATCTGCAACAGATAGCCCAAAATTTTCATTGACGAAGGTAATCAAGCAGAATCAATAATACCATCAAGGAAAATGACAGGGAACTAATTTCAAAAAAATACTACCGTACAACATCAGACATATCGAAGCGTGATTAATAAAGTTGCAGATGGTGACATATTAGATCCATATATGAACTCTTCAAATTATATAACACTTGCTGACCCGGCAAAAGTTGTTTTGCTATGTACCTTATTTCTAGAAAATATTTTTTCGGTTAAATATTCAGCAACACACTTTTATTATCATTTCATTTTCTACTTCTTTTTTGTTTGAATAACCATAAAAGTGTGTTCTCTTAGGTTTTCAAACTAATATTTATTTTCTACTTCTTTTCAGAAATAGAAAAAAATGAAGAAATTCAAAATGGCGGATCCAATATGGCGAATGAGTTCTGTACTGGTACTGGTGGGGGACGTTTGCACGTCAGCAACTAGTCCCTAATGGGACCTTTTTGCAAACCCCAAGTGTTTTCAATGACTGATGTGGTTCGCTCAAGAGAGCTGGCTAACATTCTTTTCAGGCACCGCCCATCAGCTCACTTTCCGAGTTTTTCGGCTGTGTTTTGTAGGCTAGTAATGTACTCACTACCATATGCGCAGTGGCAGGCCTGCTAGCTATCCTCGTTAACCCCCGTTAGAGACTGGGGTCCACTAAGCAGCTGGCCCGCTCTCGCTCTCACGCAACCACATCATCATCTCTGTCTGCGTGTTCTGTGTAGGCTTTGTTACTAACTCCGTCCGCCACTTTAGGAGCAGCACTGTTAATTGGAACGCAACAGCGAATCGTGCAGGACTATCCCCAGCCGATGCTCCGAAACTTTGCAATATTTAATTCGTAAATAAAATATTGAAAAAAGTTTCTTGCTCGTGCTGGGAATCGAACCCACGACCGAATGAGTTCTGTAATTATGATTCGATTCTATTCAAAATCTGTATCTCAGGGTTTTCGGGGTCGGAGATTATGATTCCTTCCTCAAAATTGAAAAATTAGAGATGGCGGATCAAATATGGCGGAAGAGTTTTGTGATTATGTACCGATTCTATTCAAAATTGGTATCTGGGGGTTTTTGGGGTCGGAGGCTATGATTCTTTCGTCAAAATTGAGAGAGCCAAAATGACGGATCCAATAATTATGATGCGATTCTGATCAAAATTTATATCTGAGGGTTTTCGGGGTCGGAAATTATGAATCCTCCGTCGTAATGAGAGAATTCAAAATGGCGGATTTGATATGTCGAAAAAGCTTTGTAAGAAATAGAGTTTTGAAAAACTAATAAAACACGCTTTTCTAGATGAACTGAAAAGGATTAGACAATAAATAGTAGTTTAGAAAAGGCGCCGTTTGATAGTTCATGTGAGCTTTTCTCACGGGCTCGTCCTCAAAGGTGGTTTATTGAATATTTCGGAATCCGGAAAGTGTGTGGAGATAAGGTGCTGCAGTGTTTCCTCTGCAGTTGTGGTTTCTCGATCATCTGACAGAGACAAAGCACGCCCACTCTTTTTCCCGGATCATTGAAGAGAACTTTGACTAGCCTTGTCGCTGAAGAAATTGTTTATATCTTCGCAGAAGGCACGCCAACTGTGTCTTTGTGATCGCCGAATGGCTTTTTTGTACGTTTTCTGGGCAGACTTATATTCTTCTCAGTGTTGCGGTATGTTAGTGCGTTTCGCTTTATTTAAAACCTTTTTTGTGAGTCTACGGTGGTTTTTTATTTCTGAATTCCACCATGATGTTCTGACGTTGGTAGTCCTGTCTTTAAGTAGACAGCTGTTTTCGTACGAGGAAGTGATGGCCTTGTTGAGATACGACACTGCTGTATCTATTTCAGTCTCACTCCCGTACTCTGATGGCAAACCCACTTCTTCCTTTGAGTTCCTCCCGAAAGAGGTCCAACTTGGTGGCAGGAGGGTTTCTGTATATTTCCTTTTCTGGAGCGCTTATTCCCCCCAACATAAATAGAATATGTTGATGATCTGAGAGATTAATCTTGTGACACCTTCTATGAATGAACCTGAGTCGGCATAGATAGATAGATAGATAGATAGATAGATAGATCGTTTAGCAAATTACATTTACAATATACTCACATAATAATAGGAAGTACAATTAATAACATCCAGAACTTGCTATAGAAGATAGGTAGGTAGCTCTCAAACTCTCTCAAATTGTAAAAACACTCTTCATGAAGAATCTTTTTTAGCTTTCTCTTGAATATACCGTATGATTCGCTATCCTTGACGGTAACCGGAAGTTTGTTAAAATATCGAATGCCAGCATTATTGGGAGCTTTTTCCCTAAATGAATAATTTATTCTACCAATTACAAAATCATTTTTATGTCTCGTATCATAATTATGGATGTCACTATTTTTTGTTAGTTTATATTTATTGATATATATAACTGAGCAATTTTAGTAAATAAATTGAAGGGACTGTTAAAATTTGATTTTGTTTGAAAATTTCACGACAAGAAGTTCTGTAGGGTAGATTGAAAATTAATCTTAGGATTCGTTTTTGCAAAACGAAAACTCTCTGCACATCACATCCCTGACCCCAGACTATGACACTGTAGCTAATAGCAGAGTAAGCATATGCATAGTATATGTTCAAAAGAGTGTTACTGTCTAGCATGGACCTTAATACTGTCAGTAAGTAGAAACATTGATTAATCGTTTTGCAAACACTATCAATCTGTTTTTCCCATGTAAAATTACAGTCAAATGTTGTTCCCAAGAACTTTACCGACTTCGATGTTTCAATGGTTGTTCCGTTGAATGAAATTTGGCATTTCAAAGGGGTTTTGTACAAACTGAAATATTCGATACATGCAGTTTTTCGTAAGTTTATAATAAGCTTATTTCTAGAACACCAGTTTTCGAATTCGATAAAAGTTTTGTCAATTTTTTCGAGAAGGTTATGTTCCGAATGATCGGATATAACCATGCAGGTATCGTCAGCATACATAAATACATCAGCTTGTGTTATATAATCAGGTAAGTCATTGACGTACAATAAAAAAATTAACGGTCCAAGGACACTGCCTTGTGGGGTACCAATATCAATATCATACTCCTTGGAGATGACCTCGTCAATTTTCACGACGATTTTTCTGTTTTCCAGGTAGGAGAGAAACCAATCGTTTAGACAACCACGTATACCTATTGCGTTTAATTTTTCTGAAACAAAAGATTTTTCGACCAAGTCAAAAGCTCTTGTCAAATCAAACAAAACAGACACAACATAATTACCACTATCTAGTTACCACTATCTCTCGAGTGCATAGAATAAGATCGATAAAATCGGAAAAAGTAGGCACAGAGCCCTCATTTATGATTCTCAGGTGGCTGGTGCTGAGTAATTCGAGTAGAGCATTCCCAGAATATGGTGGGCATTCAAGTCATAGCCGATGAGAAGGCTCGTACTAACGATTCGATCTCCCGAGGCGAACAGCTGTCTCGTACGGACGAAAAAGTTAGAAGGGACGAAAATTTGAGGTTAACCAATACCTGATTAAATAAAACATAAATATCTCGCCGAGAGGTTGAAAGAAGCCAGAAAGCGAAAGAAAAAAGCATTCATCAAGAATAACCAGCTATACATTAATGGAACCTTCTACATTTACAAACCAGAAGAAATTGAAGATTCAGAATCCACACAGTATTTGATGAATATGACATAATTACGGTTTCTGAAACATGGTTCAAGTCTAACAAAACTGATAATAGAATAGAATAGAATTTTATTCGCCTGTGGTACATTATGTTCATATGGTAAGTCAATTTGAAATAAAAAATAAATAAAAATATGAGAATTTGAATATAAAATATCTGGATGATTAATATCACATAGTAGGTATACACATAATAAATAACAAGCACACTATTATTACAAATAACATAATGGAATAGACAATATTTTTTCAACAATGTTCAATTTAGAGCATCGTCCAAGAATTCGTTTACACTATAATAACATTTCTTTATTAGCAATTCTTTCACTCTTTTATTGAATATATTGTCTGAAGTGGAATTCTTGATGAATACAGGCAGTTTATTGTAGAAATTGATCACATTATATAATGGAGTTTTCATATTTTGCACATTTGTGATCCGGAATCCGCAATAGATTTCCATGTCGCGTATTGTAATTGTGCACACTAGAATTCTTCTCCAGCTCATGTAAATTAGTGCTGGCGAATCTGATACATCTCAAAATATACACTGAGTACGCTGTCAATGAATTTTCACGTATGAATACTAATTTGCAACCCAGGCGATTCATATTGAGAATTAACTTTAACTTTAACATAGTGACATTGGAAGGATATAGATTGTTTAGGTGCGATAGACCCATGAAAAAGGAAGGTGGCCTGGGGCCGTATTCTCGACAAGTGATCTTTTTGTCGTATACGCATCAAAACGAATGGTTCATATGCGAGTACTTCTCCAAAGTGGTATTCTTGACAACCACTCGCTTCACAAAGAGTATACGCTGGAAAACGTGCGATCGTGATGCGATCAGAGCATCCGGCACCACTGTAATATTTCACGAAAGTCGTAAATTGGTCCATTAATTCACGTTCTGTGAATTATAACATCTATCAATGTGAAAAATAACCGGCAAAGATTTAAATTCTTTATATTGTTCATATTGCAACTGCTGTGTGCAAGCAACCTTTATTCCACCCTCAATCTTATATTTGAATAATAAATATGTCGTCTCAGCAAGAAAAAAAAAAGTCATATAACAGAAAGTCAGAAGAACTGCCTCATTTAATTTTTGAAAAGAAACCCGAATCTTCAATCTGGTAAGTTTTCCAATCAGTTCACATTCAAAGACGCTCAAAGGAAATGGACT